TCTCAGCAGAGGCAGCAGCCACTCCGTCTTTGCCTGCAGCCGCGCGGCTGTGAGCTGGGTCGTCGCTGCCGGCTTGCACGATGGCAATGCCGATGGCAACTATCCGGCCGCTCTCATGCCACAGGACGTCGGGGATGCCAGCGCGGCTCTCCTCGTCCTCGGGACCGCCAGCGGCGACCTGCGCGACTGAGGCGCCCGCGCCGCCGGCCACGCGTCGGAGGCTGTCCACGCACTGCGCTTTCAGAGCGTGTGGGTCGATGTGCTTCTTGACCCACTGGGGCAGGAAGTCTCGCACGTCGATGTGGGCCCGAACGATGCCGCATCCGATCTTGCAGGCGGACATATGGTGCTCAGCCAAATTGTCGTTCAGCGCTCTTCCGCAAATTCCGGCCCTTGACCAGTGTTGGCAACGTGTAGAGAGCGGCTGCGGCGAAATGGCAACGGCCATGCTGAACAACATACGGCGACGAGTTGCGATGCGCCAAGCTCAGTGGGGCATTGCGTCCACTCCGGGCAGCGGCGCGAGCTGATACGTGAGCGAACTCTGGCTTGTTCTTGCTCGGAAAGGCTTTGCATCAAGCTATATGTGTGCGAACTGCGGATGCACTCGATGATGGCCTTCTGGAAATGGGTTGGCGAGCGTGCGCTCATGTCCAGAAGCGGGGAATATGCTAATGAAGCTGCCTTGCCGCGAAGGGCGACCCTCGCCGGTTGCACCGCTGCGCGGGTTGCTGGTAGAGTCGAATAAAGCAGCCGCGGAGAACACTTGCGACATCCGTGTTCGCGCAGCATGCTTGGTTTTCCAACCTGCGAAGAACGCTGCGTGAGCCCGCTCTGTTGTGAAACCCATGGACACGCCGCCCTCTTTCATTGGGAGGAAACCCAGGAGGAGCTGCGTCGGCGACATTGTCTTGCCCAGCAATCCCTCCCATGCGGTTGCCACGGAGGCGTCGTAGTTTGTCAGCGCGTCGACCAGCCACAATTGCGCTCGCAACACGTGTCGCGGGTAACCCATCGCTGTGTAGCGCAGGGTGGCCCCGGCGACCTCCACGTTGAGCCCCGCGTCGACGAGACCAGCGAGTTTGACGCCCATCTCTGTGACGTGTGCGGCGGCTGCTGCAAACTTGGTAACGATCATGCCCTGCTCTTCCGCTCTCTGTTGCTCCTCCTGCTCCTCCTGCTCCTCCAGCTGCCGCTCCTCCTCCTCCTCCTCCTCCTCCTCCTCCTCCCTCCTCCTCCTCCTCCTCCTCCTCCTCCTCTCCCTACTCATTCTCTCAGGCCCCTTATCCTACCTATCAGCAACCTGGTTTTTGTTTCTCCTCCTCCTCCTCCTTCTCCTCGTGCCCGTCCTCCCTCATCCTTCTCGTGTTCCTCGTCTCCTGGGCCCGAAACGGGCATGCCCCCAACATCCTGGGCCATGAATCAGGAAACAAATTGGCGAACAAAATCACAGCCGGAGCTGCCGCCCCCGTCTCCGTGCGGGATTCCTCGGGCTGTTTCGACTGGGCCACCTGACTTCGCGCATCGCGCCACCCGATGCGCGACGCACGGCCACCTTCGCGCGCTCGCCGCGCAGCCCTGAGGAAAGGGCACCTCTGCGGCCGAGGCTGCGGGGCGCGGGCGCGAAAACTGTGATCAGCTTGACGCCCGTGCGGGTGACCCAAGAAACGCCCGGGAGGGCCTGGTGCCGCACAATGGGCGGGAGAGGCCCGCCGCGCTTGTGTGCTCCCGCGCCTGGCCGCGAGTGGGTGGAAGCGCTCGGCGGTGGCCGAGGCAGCTCTGTGCATCGCCATCCCTGGCCAGGGCCGCCCTGGGCCCTGCGATGTAGGGCGACGAGATCCATAGATATCAACTGCTCCCTGACCAGGTCCATCCTGAACCCAGCAGCGTGTATACGCCACGCCCACCCGGCTCGGCCAGGAGGGCGTGTACACAGCTCCTGGGCCCACGGTGAGCCAGGCCAGGGAGCAGTGGACATGCCTGGATCTTGTCGCCCGAAGGACGATGCACACATCACAGCCTCCTGACCTCGACCAGGAGGGTCTACGGTCAGGAGCTGTCGCTTGCAGCGTGTCGAGGCGGCCCCCAGCGACACGCCATGCACTGCACGCTGACAGCGTGACCCTCCATCCCACGTGGCGTGCGGCGGGGCAGAGCGGGGGACGTGGACTTTCGGGGGCCGGGACGTTGCCACGCCGCAGCAGGGAGGGCCAGAACTGGCTGCGCGACATGCAAAACAAAAGGATGGGCCAGTTTTCCACCACCACTACCACAGGTAGGACGGGGGAGAAGGGATGATGGGGAGGTCCTGCTCCTCCTCTTCCTCCGCCTCCGCCTCCGCCTCCGCCTCCGCCTCCGCCTCCTCCTTCTCCTCCTCCTCCTCCTCCTCCTCTTCCTACTCTTCCTCCCGCGCCGATCACAATAGTTCCCGAACGTAGCTGCTTCCCGTGGATCCTCTGAGCTGGCCCCAGGGGTCGTGGCCGCCCCGACCTCGGCGCCGTCACCGATCGTCGTCGGACTCGTCGGGCTCGAAACCAGAGAGGAGCCGGCGGTTGGCCACCACCTTTGCGGCGGGCAGGCGAAAAGGGAGAGAGGCCATCTGCCAGGCCCGCCCCCGACCTTCACTACCTTTGTCCGTCCCTCTCCCCCCACCCCGCCTTTCCTCCCTCCACAATTACTCGATGTGGGCACTGGCCCCCTCTCTCCCCGGGTACAGTGGAAGCGAGGCACCACATCTCCCGCATACTGCTCGTTTGCTTGCTTAGCGGAATTTCAACAACCTCTATGGCATCTGTGGTTTGTTTCCTGTTGGGACATGTTGTTCAAACTTGTGTTCTCGTTGCAGCGATGGCTTCATCGGTTCTTTGTTCCCGTCATTCAGAATGGTCTCGCCCAAGCGCGTGCCACAGTTTTGGATCCGCTTCCTTCCTCGTCGTTGTCGCTCTCCTCTTTCCCTCATGCGCCTGCCCCAGCTCATCCTGCTCATCCTATGCGCACATATCCCCTCTCTGACTGAACATCACTCCAATTGGTCATTTGGGGGATCCAGGTCCGCTAGGGCACCCGTCGGCGGATAGAGGAAACATCGGTGCAACAGGAAGGGATAGGTGGAAACGGTAGGATGTCAGATACGTCGCGCGAGCGGCTAGCTTGCCCCCACGTTCCCTTTCCCCTCCCCCCTCTCCCCTCTTCTCACCGCGCGCCTCTTCCGGGGAGTGTGGGGGGGGCGAGAGGGGAGGAGGCGCGGGGAGCGAGGAGGGGGAGGTACAAAGTATGAGAGGGCACCAGAGGGATTGGAGACGCGCGAAGGGCGATGGTAAGGACGACAGGCAGGAGGAAGGGGGGGGTGGGGGGAGAGGGGACGAGAGAGGAGGCAAGGGAAGAAGGAATGGGGAAGGGGGGAGGGGAGAGAGTCACGATAGGTGAACCAGCCCAGCATCTGACATCCTACCCCTGCAACCCACACCTTTCAATTGCGTTGAATCCCTTTGTGCTGTCCAGGTCGGGTACTCGATCGGACCTTGATCGCTCCGTGGTTTGCTGTACAAAGGGAAGCGAGTAAATGTCACGTAGTTCCCAGGGAGGTCGAGCAATATGTTGGTGGGAATAACGCGCACAATCGAAGAGATCCGTGCAAGCAGCATGCACACTAAGAATGAGAAGAAACCTTGGGAGGAGCATGAAAAAGATGGGCAACCAGCGAAAATAGCGATGACAACATTGAGGAATATCATGAGGAGGAAGGAGGAAGACGAGGAGAGGATAACAACGAATCATACTAATCAGCCAGTCTCTGTCAGCAAGGGCCACTGGGCTGCGCGGCTCAGGCTTCAGCAATTGAGTAGTCTAGATCTAACCAACGCCATGAGGCAATTCGCTAACGTTGCATTATCCCAAAGAGCTCAGCCCCTTGGCAACCGTGATGTTCGAGCCTACAGTTGTCAGGGCACATAACCGCTCTGTCTTGCCTGATCAAACGAAGAGGCGACGTGGCAGCTCTCTGCGCGTCCACAGTGATTCCAGTCGAGGCCAGACACACCGAGGAACTCCTTGGCCTCACCCAGGGAGAACTCACGCGGTTCCATGATCAGAAAAGGGGAAGCCGATCAGGAAACGGTCCGTTGACAAGGCAACACGCAGACGTCAACTTGCGCCTTCGAGGCCACGACATTAACCCGCGCCTTCGGGGCCACGATCCTTTGCAAAACCACTCTGGGCCAGCGCCTTCGAGGCCGCGATCCCTAGTACAATAACTGTGGGTCCGCACAATCGCGGCCACGACTCCTCGAACAAAAACCATGGGCCAGGTCCCGATCGAGACCACCGTCTCTGTAAGACAAAACCAGGACAAGGGCAAAATCGGATTACGAAAAATCAGGGGATCAGAGATCCAACGCTCCAGAACGCTCCAAGAGCGACGTGGAACGCTCTGTAACGCTTTACCCCAGGCCTAACCCCGCCCGACTCTTGTAAGCCACCCTTGGCCCTTGCCTTCGAAAGCCAGGATCCTTTCGAGGTCAGGATCCCTTTGATAAACTAGTTCCAGGAACAACTGGGCGACGAGCAAAAACAGGTCTTACACGAGAAGGCATGGCATGGCAAGCTTACCCCGCGGCTCACGCGGGCAGCCAGCGTGGCACACCGCGTGAAGAAGAGGGCGCGCACGCGCGACCTCACGCGGGAACTTTACGCGCGAATGTCCGCGCAGTCGACCCCGTTTTCTTCCCTCGCTCAACTAGGTTCGTGCCAAAGCTCATCGGCTCGCAGCCGACCTCCCGGAAGTCTCCGGAGGTCTCCAAAGAACTGGGGGCCTCTGGTCCAGGCCTCCCGACCGGAGGCGCCCCGAGGCACCCTGGGCTTCCTGGGGACCAAAGATTAGAAACCGCGCCAAACCTCGTCGTCACCGCCGACACCATTCAGCAGACAAAAGACAATGTAGCAGATCTGCCCCGCCGTAGGGGACGCCTGCACCAGGGCGGCTGGAACATTTACACCCTACGGCGGCGCGTCGGGGGATACACTGTCCAACCGCCCTGGGGTAGGCTTCCCCAACAGCGGACAATCTTTTACACCCACTCTTCTTCGTCCGCTGCACAATCTACCTGCACTTTCTGGGCGTATTTCAGAATGCGCTCTGGCCAAATCCCGGGGCAAATTCAGCCGTGGCGACGGCGCCCCACCCTCCCAGGAGGCCCAAAGTAGAAAACCAGGGAAACGTATCGAGCATCGGTATGCTTTTCTCATATGACCCCCTCCTCCGACGTCGTACTAGGTCGTGGCGTGAGCCCCTGGCGATCTCGACCCCTTCCCCAGGCCCCGCTCTGAAATTCCGAATCATCTTTGACGGCCCGCGGGGAGTTCTGCCGTCATAATTATGCTGGTACGCCTTGAGCTGAGGATGGACGTCATCGACGACGTCGTCATCGCAATCACCCAGCGGCCTGCAACGCGGTATCCACCCGGGCGCCCAACCGCGCGAGCCGGTGAACCCAGCCAGGGATGCGGCCTTGCCAGGGTCGTCGTGGTCGTCGTCGCGACCGCCGCCGCCGCCGCTGCCGTCGCCGCTGTCGTCGTCGTCGTCGTCGTCGTCGTCGTCGTCGTGGTAGTGGTCGTTGTCGTGGACGCGGACGTGGTCGTGGTCGTGGTCGTCGTCGTCGAGGTTCCAAACTTTGGGATGTCGTAACGACATCCCAAAGTTTGGAACCTCGACGACATTGTCGTCCTGGCCTGTTAGGGCCTCTGGAGGCCTCGCAATAACCTCGCAGGGGTAGCAGGCGTCGTCGCCAGCGCAGACCACAGCCGCAGCTGCCGCCCATACAGGCGGCCTGTGGGATGCGGCCTTGCCATGATGCAGGTCGATTGCGCAAAAGACGGTGGCATCGGGCAGCGCGCACATGCGTCGGAAACGACAACACAAAACAGCAAAATGTTTTTGACACTTGGGCCTAAACGCCAAAAAATCAACCCGCGGCGTATCACTGGCCCGTGGGATGGGTCCGGAGCTCAGGGCAGGAACGGCGTAACAAATCAACGACGTCGAGATGCGAACGAAACGAAGTCGTTCAAGAATCTCTCAGGACCAGCGGGTCCAGAGGACGTGTCGGACGCCACGGCCGTTCCAGAGCGCCCTGGAAGGCTTCGAGAGAGCTCTGGAGCGCTCTGGGAGGATTCATCTGTATCCCAGACTGCCTGACGCAAGTCATGTCGCCGCACACTCCGCTCTGGTGCTCGAGGTCTCCATGCAGTTCAAAGTCCCCCCAGAACCGTCGTCGAGACAGATTTCCACGACTCCGACGGCTGCCTCAACAGGGCAAATGCTTTTCCAAAGTCAGTCTGCGACATATCAGCTCGAAATTTAACACACCCTCACCTCACCTCTGGCAGCATACCAATGAGTTTGGCAGGGGCTCTTGAGAATGGGTGGGGGATGCCGCACTGGCCTGCCCCAAAAAGCTAAACCAAGCCAGAAACAGCAAGAAGCACTGGCTTGGAGACTGGCCATCGGAAGCTGACTACGTATAGTATACCTTAACATATAATCAAGACCTTTGATTAAAGAAATCTGGGTCAGCTTCCTGGAAGTCTCCTAAAGCAAGCCTAGGACGATTCCTGCCGTTCACGCTGGAGGGGCGAAGGTGCTTGAGAATGTGGGCCAGCTTTTCGGGAGGAGGCTTCTTCATCATACTCTCCACCGCAATAACCGACGTTGTTGACGTGCAGTGGCAAGACCAAGCCAACTTGTCATGCCTGTGGGTGAGGACAACGTCAGCAACCAAACAGCGCGCTGGTACCCATCGCAAGCCCCGCGGACGAGAGGGCCCGCGTCGCCGCGGCTGCGCCTCGACCTCCTAGTCAGAACGCGCTCCAGAACAGGGGGGGGGCACCTGGTGGGGGGACGGTGGCAGTGGGAGGTGAGGCAGGTGAAGGCTCGACAGACTCCCTCCCTCTGCTTCTGCTCCTCCTCCTTCTCCTGCTCCTCCTCCCCCCTGCTCCCTGCATCCATTACATGCACACGGCTACGTTCACATCCGCGCGCGCGCCTGCCGGTGATTGCTCGCACATGCTCGCGCGAACGACTAATGCATAAGAAACGTGGCCGTGTGCGCAGGAAGCGAAGCGCCCGGCCAGCTCCGAGTCGGCGAGAGAAGTCGTCGGCGAAGTGGCAGCAATTTCGCCTTCCGAGCCGCTCCGCTCTCTCGCAGTGCGCAGGGCAGAGAAGCGAGACCGAACAGGTGCTGCAGCGCGTGTTCGCACGATCGCTTCAAGGGTACCACCTTGGTCTGAAAGCGACCGCGAGGGTGCCCAAGATGTATAGAGGAAGAGAAAACGCCATAAACATAAACTTTTGGCGCTCCGCGCGGGTTTCTTGGATCTGCGCTGGGCCCCCCTCCCTGGCGCGCGGAGCGCGCCGAGGGCGGCGCCGGATGCGCCGCCAGGGGGGCCCAGCGCGGATCCAAGAAATCCGCGCGGAGCGCCACATGTTTCTGCATATGGCATGTGTTTTTCTTCTTCGAATGTAGGCACAAGAAGAACGACACCTTAACGTCTTTAGACCCCCCCCGCGATATCGGCGCAGCACCAATAGCATCATCAGGTATCCCTACGGTGCGGTGACATCATAATCTGGCGCGCGACCTGGTGCAGTCATGCGCAATGCAAGCGACACTGTGATTTTGTAATTGGTAACCGTGACAGACATCACAACACACAACAGGCTCTGGAAAAAAAGCACTGGGAACACTGCAAGAATAGCAATTATAACGTAAAAGGAACCTGAAGAATAATTCGGGCGCGCGGCATCAAAAGACGGAGTCAGAAACTTATATCAAAGGAGTTGTTTGAAAGCCCCAGGACTCCCAAAGGACATGTGAGTCCCATTGGAGTCCTGGGTCGCCCAGGAATCCGCCTATGGTAGTCCTGGTGCGCCAGCATATCTCCGGCGCCTCGCAACGTCCTCCGGCGCTCCCTGGAAAATTGTTCTTGACCAGGCCCAAGAACTGCTTGGGCCTGGGGCAACACCGCGCGTTGCAGGGTGCCTCACAGTTCCGCCGGAACGGAGGGGGGTCGTTTTCTGAACTGTTCCCAACCATCCTGTGGTGTTGGGTTCTCGATTTGAAGAGAAGGTCCCCACGTCCCTCTCCTCTCCTCTCCTCTCCTCTCGTCCCCTCCTCCTCCTCCTCCTCCTTCTCCTCCTCCTCCTCCTCCTACTCCTCCTCCTCCTCCTCCTCCCTCCTCCTCCTCCTCCTCCTCCCTCCTCCTCCTCCTCCTCCTCCTCCTCCTCCTCCTCCTCCCCCCCCTCCTCCTCTCATCACCCCCTTCACTTTGCACATCCCTCACACGTTTCGTGGTCCCATAGGAAGCTTCACCTAACGTCCAAGTGGCGCAGTCCGCATGGCGGCGCAGCCCCCTTTTGGCACACCCCTCGTTTCGTGGCCCCAAAGGGAGCTCCACCTGAGGTCCCAGTGGCGCAGTCCGCATGGCGGCGCCTCCCCATTTTGGCACACCGCCCACACCTTTCGTGGCCCCATAGGGAGCTCCACCTGAGGTCCAAGTGGCGCAGTCCGCATGGCGGCGCCGCCCCATTTTGGCACACCCCTCACACGGTTCGTGGCCCCAAAGGGAGCTCCACCGAAGGTCCCAGTGGCGCAGTCCGCATGGCGGAGCCGCCCCATTTTGGCACACTTCTCACACGTGCCGTGGCCCCAAAGGGAGCTCCACCGAAGGTCCCAGTGGCGCAGTCCGCATGGCGGCGCCGCCTCATTTGCCACACCCCTCACACGTTTCGTGGCTCCATAGGGAGCTCGGGAGCTCCACCGAGGGTCCCAGTGGCGCAGTCCGCATGGCGGCGCCGCCACATTTTGGCACACGTCTCACACGTTTCGTGGCCCCATATGGAGCTCCGCCCTGCCCCATTTCGGCACACTCTTCACGCGCTTCGTGGCCCCATAAGGAGACCCATCGAAGGCGATACGCACAACGACGGCATTCACAACTGCATTGGGTCCTTCGCCAGGCTAATGTTCTGCCTTTGCCCTGGAAGTGAAAAGAAGCCGACTCTCATCCTCCTCACTGCTTCTCTCCCGCTCGCCTGATCTTCTTCCTTCTCCCTCTCCTCATCGTCCTATTCCTTCGTCCTCCGTTCTCCTCCTGCCTGTCCCGGGGCGTCGGCGGCAGATGGCGGAACAGGCGAGCAAGGCGTGATATTCCCCAAGTCTGATTTCGTTTCTGAAGTGGCCGGGCCCAGGTGCCACCGTGGCCAGCTTGTGGCCGCCCGTCGCCGCCCGTCGTCACTGTCCGTCGTCGCCACTTGCGCCGCGTTGCTTTGCATTCCTTTGCATTGCTTCGCATTGCCTTGCAATGATTCCCATTGCGTTGCATTGCGTTGCGTTGCTTTGCATTGTTTTGCATTGCGTTTCATTGTTTTGCGTTGCGTTGCAGTGTCGTGCGACGCGTTGTCTTACCTCGAATTGTATTGCAATGCGTTGCCTTGCCACGAGTCGCATTGTAATGCCTTGCGTTGCCTTCCAATGATTTGCGCTGCTTTGTTTCGCATTGGTTTCCATGGCGTTGCGTTGCTCTGCGATGCTTGCCATTTCTTTGCGTTGCGTAACGTCGCATTGCGTTGTTCTGCATCGCGTGGCGTTGTTTTGCGTTGCACCATTGTGCGCCGCATAGATGATCCTTGTCTTTTATAGTGAGAAGCGACTCTACAACAAATGAAACGAAGTGCACACGCGCGCGTCGTCGCGCGCGCCTGCCGGAACCCTTCAAAAACATTCGTCTTCCAAAACAATGCAGCATCGAGGCTCCAAAACACATAAAACACAGGGTCTCGCAACACTGGTTTTCAAATCAAACTTGCACGCTCGCTCTTGCGAGTTCTGAACAAATCCAATCGTTGTTCACGCATGTTCAAAACATGCGACAAAACAGACTTCGCGCGCGCATGTCGAAATCGTTCGAACGCCTTTGCGCGCGTGCTTATGTGGCACGACCCGTGTCACATCGACGCGAAGACGCCGTCATCGTCGTCGGCGTTATCAGCGTCGGCGCCGTCACTGGCTGCCCCGTCGTCGCTGCCAGCATCGTCGCCAGCGTCGCTACGACCATCGCCGTCTCTACAATTGTCGACGTTGCCATGATGCCGCGCCCACCCAAGTCGCCGACTCGCAATGGAGTGCCCGCTGGGATGTGTTCAGCGGTCGGCGCCGCCGCGGCAGCGTCGGTCGCGCCCAGCTAGCTGGCTGCTGCTGCGCGCGCGCATGCGCGGGCTGGCGCGGCCGCGAAGATGCGCCAGCCAACGCCAAGAATCGCAGACCCCGCCGCATTGGTTTTGCAAACCAAGTTGCGGGTGGGCAGGTGGGGCTTTCGCGCGAGCAGTGGAGGTGGTTAGGCGCGGTGCAGGGTAGTCAACTGCACAACCTAGATAACACCAAATTAATTGTATCACCTAGACTGCACCGCGTAGGTTACAGCAGCAAGAACTCACGGTTTGGGGCCCACGCTGACTAAAACACGCGCGCACATGTCATATCGCATGAGCACGCCAGCCACCGCGGGCCCCAAACAAACCATTGCCAGGCAGCCTCCGTTGCGAAGCTACGTGGTGAAACCTGTGTTGTGCTATGTACGTCGGGCAAACTATGGTGCGCGAGCTGCGCGGTAAAAAGAAAAACGCCCTGCGCGCTCTACGTGGCGCGATTTACGTTGTAGAATCCCTGTGGCGCAGTCGATGTGGTTCAATATATGTTGCGCGAGCTCGCTGGCGCAGCTCCAGTGGTGCAAACCGCCCTGCCAAAGTTGTAGTTGATAACTCCACTGTTCGCGCAGTCGCCCCACCCGCCCGCCCTCCACCTGGCGGCGGTCATTTCCATGACTCCTTGGCGCTGGCTGGCAGATCGCAGCGGCCGCGCTAGCGCGCATGCTCGCGCGCACAGCGGCCAGCTAGTCTGGCGCGACCGCCGCGGCCGCGGTGGCACTGGCCGCTGGGGGGCTTCCCAGCGCGTCGCGCAAGTCGCGCTGGCGCGCGGGGACATCAGCGCGCGTCGGTGGCTCGGGCGGACGCGGTACCATGGCGATGTGATGTCGACAACGGCAGGCATGGCGGTGATAATGGCGACGCTGGTGGCGACGATGGCGATGACGACGGCAAGACCAATGATGGCGCCGACGCTGATCGCGCCGACGACGACGATGGCGCCCGCGTGTCGGCGATGAGCTTTTCCATGCCATTTCGAGATGCGCGCGCGGCCGACGAGCGCGAGTGGGCAACATGGCGGCATTCAAAGTGGATCACGACCCTCCCAATCACGCGCGCAAGAGCGGCCACATGATTTCGACATGCGCGCGCGAAAAGTCATGTACTTGGTCGCGATGGCAAGTTTGAAGCTCATGGTTCCCGTGAGAATATGCCAAGACGCGCGTGCCAACCGTTTTCGTCCAATCATGCTGAAACACCGGGCTTATTTTCCCAACCTCCCTGTGGTGTTGGGTCCTCGTTTTGAAGAAGATCCCCACGTCCCTCCTCTCCTCTCCTCTCCTCTTCTCCTCTCCTCCCCCTCTCCTCCGCCTCCCCCCCCGTCTTCTCTCCTCTCGTCGCCCCCTCACTTCGGCGCGCCCCGTCGCGCGCTTCGTGGCCCCATCGGGAGCTCCACCTGAGGTCCCACTGGCGCAATTCGCACGGCGGCGCCGCCACATTTTGGCACGCACCCCACTCGTTTCGCGGCCTCACAGGGAGCTCCACCTAGGGCCCCAGTGGCGCAGTCCGCATGGCGGCGCCGCCCAATTTCGGCACACCCCTCACTCGCTTCGTGGCCCCATAGGGAGCTCCGCCTAAGGCCCCAGCGGTGCAGTTCGCATGGCGGCGCCGCCCCATTTGGCACGCCGCCCACGCGCTTCGAAAGCCCATGGGGAGCTCCGCCCAGGATCCCAGCGGCGCAGTTCGCATGGCGACGCCGACCCCATTCTGGCACACCCTTCCTGCGTTTTCGTGGCCACATAGGGAGCTCCACCTAAGGTCCCAGCGGTGCAGTTCGCACGGCGGCGTCGCCCCATTTTGCCATACCTCTAACACAGTTCGCGGCCCCATAGGGAGCTCCATCTAAGATCCCAGTGGCGCAGTTCGCATGGCGGCACGCCCCTCACACGCTCCGTGGCCCCATGTGGGAGCTCCGTC